CAATGGTTTCAGATGTCCTTTCCTGAGTAGGACCCCTAGGGCTTTAGACAAAGGCATATAGAGTGGGGTGACAACCCTCTTGCCTCGGGGTAGATAGTCTGAAGTTTGGGGGTTTGAAGTGGATGTACCAACAAAGGGGGTGGCTACTCTTGGTGTGGTGGTGGTGACCATGCCCACTTCAGAAGATTTTGCAGCTGCATCACCGCTGGTGGTCGCACTTGAATTGCGGGAAAACGCCCTCCTAGGCTGCTCCTTCTCCTGGTCAATGAGGCCCTACTTCATAGCGTCCTCGATCTGTACTCCCATCTCATGTAACTCTGAAAAGGTCGGGAAGGGGAGCACGATCATTTTCTGCATTAGTTTGGGCTGGAGGTTGCACACAATCATCCGTATTTGATCCTTATCCGTTGGCCTAATGGTCATCATTGAGGCCTTGGCCCTCCAGCGGGCCACGAATTCCGAGAAGCTCTCCTTTGGCTCTTGGCGGGTGACTTCAAGTGACCTCAATCTGTGCGTTATAGGAGTATTGATCACTGAAGTCCTTAGCCATCTCTTCCTAATTCTGTTTCATAAAGTTCTCCAATTTTGCATACCAGATTGCGGCTATCCCAAACAGGGTCCGGCCAAACAATGATAGCTTCTGTAATCTGGTGAGGCCCATCGGCCTTAGTATGTCTGAAAATAGCCGCAAATGTACCATGGGATCCCCAGATCCATCAAAGCGGTCGATGTGCGGCATCTTAAATCTGTCCGGCAGCGTCACAGCCGAGTCTGTATACCCATCTACGGTCTTCAGAGCCATCGAATCGATCGATATGTGGCATTTTGAACCGATCCGATAATGTCAGCACTGAGTCGGTATAACCATCCTCGATGTCCGGAATGGATTGAGCTCCTTGAGACTTCTTGAATAGCTTTTCCAGTTTACTCACTTTTAGTGCTGTGGGGTCTACCTCGAACGCAAAAGAGGAATCCGGTAGGTTGGTTCGTGTCTTGGATAGCTGGGGTAGAACCGGGGGCGGAGCTTGCCCTGTCAGAACGTCCGTATCTTCTTGGACATTAGCTGTCTCCCCGAGTGTTGGAACTCTTGGTGGGGGAGGAGCCTGGTGTGAAGTAGATACTCCAGTTTGCTGCTCTAACCTGGCAATTGTCTCTGCCTATTGGGCTATGACCACAGCCTGTTGCTTGGCGAATTCTGCTTGACGGACAGCGTCTTACTGCATGGCTTTCATACTATCCTGGAGTTGGCGCACCATCCTTTCCAGACCCGACATATTGTTCTAATCTAACTGAGCAACCGGTATATCTGTGTCGGCAGTAGGCTCGGAAATCTTAGCCCGACTGCTCAAAGATCACTGATCTAGTAGCTGTTGTACTGGTGGTCTGTGCCTGACTAGCCTTCTCTGGCCCTGATTACCCTTGAACTGAGTCTCTGACCTGACAAAGTCTATCAGTACAAATCCAATGAACCTCGGGGGATATTGGAGCCTTCTGAAGCTATGGTTCCAGGACTACCTAGCAAAAGAGAAAACAGGTAGCATCTCAGCCCAATTTCATCAGAACAGGCATAGGCATAACTGAATAACTGTATTCTACTACTGATCACTGTTCCCCAAAATCACTGCCCCAAAATTGAATCTGATATCCATGGATATAACCGATTCTCAAATTCTGATACTGATGCCCTAAGGCCTGATGCCTCAGACTTGTAAACCGATACATGCATTCCTGTAGAGACCAACTCTAAAGCACATAGCAGATAAGTGAGAGCCAAAACACCCCTATGTTGGGGTAGGGTTTCCCTGTCCTATTTTGTCAGGAGCTAGGGTTTCACTATGCACACAGCGGTTTCAAACAACCTATGATCAGGTAAGTAACCTGTCCTAGCTTGGAATGGTCACTATGGATTTCAATATGCACTAGGTCGAATGGTCAAAAAGGGTGCCCCGGTAAAAACCGGGGTTTGTGTTCCCATACTAGCAGAGCCGCAACCGGTCAGCCTTGTGGTTATGCCTTAACAAGGCAAGCCTTTGGCAAACCGCTCAGAAATAGCAGATGGCAAACACGGTGTCCTAGGCGCACCAATGCACATGTAATGCAAAGAAACACATAAGTAAAATCAAAACAGGATATCATGAGTTCGAGTCAAGCTCTCTAAATCCCCAGTGGAGTCGCTAGAAACTGTAGACGTCCCCGAACGCCCCGGGAGGGTGAGTCCCGTTCTGTTCGTATTGGGCTCACTACAGTTCGGACTCTCAAATTATCATGGTTCTTAATCTGAACCAAAGAGTCCCAATCCGACAAATCGTTTTTCAGAAAACAGATTTTTAGAAAAGAAGTGCCAAACATGGACTGCTTTGCCAGATACAGAGTTGCCACCTAAATATTTTATTTTGTAAAATTTAGGAAACCTTGACTCAGTGTCAAAGGCCACGTGTCTGCCATCACCAAAGTTGCCTCGGCTCGGGAACTTGGGTACGATTGGAGAAGGTCAGCTATGAGCACCCCCTCTCACCCGATCGAAGATCGGCCTCTACTAACCATGATATCTTGTTTTTTAAAACACATGTGTTCTTATTCCAGTTAATTGGCCTAGAATTACTATGTTATGCGCACAACAAATAAGTATAGACCAAATCACCTAAATTAGAACAAAACATTGCATGTTTGTTTTGAAAATGGTTTGCTACTCGCAAGTAGGCTAAAATGCAGGTTTTGCCACCCTCAAGTGGGCTTTAGAAAAGATGGTTTTGCCACTATCTAATGGGTTTAAAACTCATAGTTTTAATGCATTATTCTAATTTAGTTAATTCAACATCCACCCGTAGGCATTCAAGTAGTTATATCACATAAGCAAGTAGCCTCATGGTAAGCATGCTCTCATGGCAACACTCACACGCATGCAAGGATGCTAAAACATAAATGCTTACCGAGTACTCCAAGCCAAAACAGAAACTAGTTAGTAATCATATGCATGATCCTAGTTCATGTTAAGATGGCTAATGCAACACATGCAAGATGCAGCTACAATAGGCTCGGCTAATCTATGGATGGCATATGATGATGCTACAACTAACACGTATTCAACTTGGAATTGAAATACAATGCAGTTAGTATGATGCGCCGAGCCCGGTGCATGCAAGACAAACGTATAGATGCAAAACATGCGAGCATAAGGATGCTAATTTAAACATGCCCTAATCTAACCACTGAAAGCGGATAAATAAAAGGGAGAAAGACGTGGGGTTGGAAGGCATACACACACCCACACACACTTATTACACAATTGCCCTCGCTCGAAGGATCCAAATAAATAATACAGTCCGAATAAACAATTAAACTATTCTAGCTAATTAAATATTACGGGGTTGGAAGACATGCACACACGCACCCACACTTATTACAAATTTGCCCTCGCTCTGAGGGACCAAAAGAATAATACAATTAACTAACCTACAAGCTAATTAATTATTACAGAAAAATTAACTAGTTAAGGAAATTAACTAAGCTAAGAAAGCAGTAAAGGCCTCGGGAGGAAGGCCCAATGCACGCGTGCTCGGGTTTGCCCAGAAATCCATCGACATGCACAAACTACCTCTGTTTACCCTGCTCTACTCTTCTGAAAATTGCACAACTCCCAAGGAGCGCTCTATGGATATTGGGGAGCATCACTGACCAAGTGGGATCATCATCAGCCATTTTTAAGTGGTCATCGACCATCCATTGAGCTCTCGGCCAAATATATTTGGTCGGTCGGCAGTATATATGGCCGGCCGACCAAAACTTCCTGCAGAAACCTGTTTGACAGCAGCAGAGGGCAGACAAGGCATGGCAATGCACTTTCAAAGCAATGTTTGCACCACCACCCTCCTTATCATGTTCATGACTCAAAGGAGGATGGTCCTCGACCCTCGAACCACCAATCACGCATTTCAATGCATGATGGCCCAAAGAAGCCAAAGTGTGCAATTTCAATATGGAATGAAATGCACAAAACAAATAATGGGGCCCAACCTCTATCATAATCAATTCAAGAGGCATGGGATGCATGCAATGCTATGCAACCTAAGCATGCAAACTAAGCATGCAAATGTGCAATGTGTCAAACATGCAAAATGCAATGTAACAAACATGGAACAAGGCCAAATATGCAACAACATACAAAGCAAGCATGCAACAACATGCTAGGATGCTCTTGAACCGAAGTGGACAGCCCTCAAGTAGGCCCAAAACAGTGGCCAAAATGATGCAACAAAAGCATGAAAACACACACACAAGCATGCATGCACAAGGGCCTAAACATGGAGCATAAGCCAACAACTCTTCAAAGTATGAAAGGGATGGAAAACGCAAGTATGCAAATATGGAACATGGACTGAAATATGATCTCCAATGATGCCAAATCATGAGAACAAGCCAAGTAAAGCATGCTAGTGACCCACACACCCAAAGCTAACAACTGTCGAGTATTTGATGTCGTCTATCACGTTGTAGACGGCGTCATGGTCGTAGTCTTTGAAGCTTATTCTACCGGAGAAGTAATTGTGTCATCCGAGGCTTCTGGTCCAGGCGGTTTTGCCTGTTCTTAAGGGTCCTTCGAGGTAGAGGGAGATTGGGCGGATGGGCCTCTGCTCTGGTTCCTGTTATCAAAGGAGGAGGAGAGTTCTTCGTCAGTATATAAATTATTGATATTGTTTTTGTGTATCCCTAATCTAAGGAAGTCGTCTTCCCTCCAAACGGAGAGACAACAATTTTGACATAACTCGTACTGAACGCAATTTCGACTTACAAACAAAATATTATTTTCTGCCCATTTTTTTACTTCTTCATTTAAGAAAGGAAATGAATTAAAAGGGCTAGTATATGGGGGCCTCTCTCTTTTGTAATGATCCCTGGAAAATGTTTTTAATTGGGGGTATTTTGTGACGTAATCGGTGGGACATTTTTCTTTACAGAGAGCAAAGAATTGTTCCTCCGTTTCTACTTCGCCAAGTATTCCAATGGAGGTGAAGAGACGAACAGCGAAGACTCTGGTGGCGAAGCTGAGCTCAGTGTCCGAACAGTCTCGCAAGGAAGCTCTCTCTGAGCTCCGACTCATCACCAAGCACGACCCCCTAAGCCGACCCCTCATCGCCGACGCCGGAGCAATCCCTTTACTCGCCAACACCCTCTATTCTCCCTCCTCCACCTCCCAAGACAACGCCACCGCCACCCTCCTCAACCTCTCCATCTCCTCCCCGGAAACCCTCATCTCCACCCGCGGCCTCCTCGACGCCCTCTCCCACTCCCTCCGCCGCCACTCCTCCTCCTCCTCCTCCGCCGCCGCCGCAGCCGCCACCCTCTACAGTCTCCTCACCGTCGACGATTACCGCCCCATCATCGGCTCCAAGCGCGACATCGTCTACGCCCTAATCGACATCGTCAGAAACCCTAATTCGCCCTCGAAATCGATCAAGGACTCTCTCAAGGCCCTGTTTGGGATCTCTCTCTACCCGCTTAATAGATCCACGGTGATTGAATTGGGGGGAGTGAATGCTATTGGTAAAAGTTTTAGGTGAAGAAGATAGAGAAAATCCATTTGAGATGATGAAAGTTGAATACTATCCTCAAAGTAAGTTGAAAGTGAGAATGAAAGTACACGGGGTGTGGGGCTTGGCCTCCGAATTGTACGGGAGACGAGTTTCTGTCTCAACCGCTTGGGCCGAAGATTGGAGAAGTTTAGGAGAGATGAGGAGATTCAGGGTTGGTTTGGCAAAGGCTCATTGGATTTTTTTGGCTCAATAAGTCATAAAAGACAGAATAGACTCATGAGTCACAACAGACAAAACATCTCATCCAATTCCATAATCATTATACTCTTCTCTCACAAAAAAATTAAAAAAGTCAAAAAGTCAAAAGTCCTTCCCAAACTAAGTTTTTGAACCTAGGTTCATATAGTCAAAAAAGTCAAAAAGTATTTCCTAAACTAAGCTTTTTAGCCCATGCTAAAATAGTCAAAAAAGTCAAAAATCTAAAAAGTCAACCCACTTCCCAAACGGAATAGTTTTAGACTGATCAAACCAAATCGAACAAACAACTAACTGTTCAAGTTTAATTTAAAAACCTTAACAAATTAAACTCAAATAAACTTTTAACCAGCTTAAACATGAGTCAAGCTCAAACTGTTTGGCTTTGTTTATCAACCTAAATACAACTCTCAAATTTAAAATTAAGGTTCCGTTTGTTTTGACGTAAAGAATATAAAAGTTATAAAAAGCCAGTTTTAATACAGCGTGGCAATTTTATATATGTTACAATAAAAAATTATTATATACAGCGTAAGTTTTGAACTTATGATTTTAAATTTTATTAAAAACATACTTATTGCTGAAATAATATACTTATGATATTAATTTTTTTATTATTTATTTTTATTATTATTTATCTGAATTGGCGTGTACCCGCTAGTGTATATATATATATATATGCAAAGTTTGAATGCTACGTCGATCTCACCTTCTCCTCCAAATCAATCTCTCTCCCAATTCTCCAATCTTATATAGAGATATCAGCAGGGTATAGCAGAGAGTAGAGTATGGCATTTGATTTGGAATCGTTGTCAGAGGCAACTTCGGGAGCCATTGGAGCACTGGTCAGCACAACCGTGCTCTACCCTTTAGATACTTGCAAGAACAAGTACCAAGCTGAAGTTCGATCTCACAATCGCCAAAAGTACAGGTAATTTTATCATACATTTCTTTCTCTTCCCTTTCTTCCTCTTGGGTTCCTCCTATTTTTGGCTTTGTTGATCTTCAATTATATTCTCTTTATTGTTTGTTTTTTCCGTTTTGATGTGATTGTTGTGTTGTTTTGGATCTGGGTTTTCTGGCGATTCTTCATCAAAGTGTGCTTTGTTCAATACAGTGTGCAATGCGTGATTTTACATATGTGATGGATTTTGATGGATATGGTGTTGTGTTGTTATGACCACATTGCTTATGTTTGCTCAATTCAGGCCATTTTGGGAATGACATTTTTAAGTGGCTTTTTGGGTTAAAATATGAAGCTAAAAAAACTGAAGGACATGTTTGGTGTGTATTTCAAAATACAATTTTTGAAAAAAAAATTTCAAAATCGTTTTTTCTCTCTTACACATCAATCAATCGCTTTTTCTCTCTCTTCTCT